GCATACCTATTTAGAGTATTTAAATACATGACATTTGTGGACAAAGCGCATTGTCAACTATCCACGGTGTGTTGGCTGCCTTTTAACTCGCTCCGCGAACTGTTAAAAACATGTGAGTCTTGACCTCGTGGCGTTAGTGGATTGAGTGAAATGGTCGTTTGGTTATCGGCTGTCCGATCAAATGAACCATACTGTAGCGAATTTACGTGAATTTCACGTTTTATCTATGTCTTACATGAGATACCTGCCGATATTCTCCTGAATACAGACTAGACGTACAGTAGACATCAGCCGATATCCCAACCCCTGCATACAGGCGGGATGTACAGTAGACTTCAGCCGATATCCCCACCCTTGCATACAGGCTGGACGTACAGTAGATACCAGTCGAAATCCCCAACCCTGCATACAGGCTAGACGTACAGTAGATACCAGCCGATATCCCCACACCTGCATACAGACTCGACGTACAGTAGATACCAGCTGATATCTCCACCCCTGCATACTGACTAGACATGCAGTAGATACCAGCCGATATCTCCACCCCTGCATATAGACTAGACATACAGTAGATACCAGCCGATATCTCCACCCCTGGATACAGGCTAGACATACAGTAGATACCAGCCGATATCCCCACACCTGCATACAGACTAGACATACAGTAAATACCAGCCGATATCCCACCCCTGGATACAGGCTAGACATACAGTAGATACCAGCCAATATCCCACACCTGCATACAGACTAGACATACAGTAGATACCAGCCGATATCTCCACCCCTGGATACAGGCTAGACATACAGTAGATACCAGCAGATATCTCCACCCCTGCATACAGACTAGACATACAGTAGATACCAGCCGATATCTCCACACCTGCATACAGACTTGACATACAGTAGATACCAGTCGATATCTCCACCTCTGGATACAGGCTAGACATACAGTAGATACCAGCCGATATCCCCACCCCTGCATACAGGCTAGACATACAGTAGATACCAGCCTATATCTCCACCCCTGGATACAGGCTAGACATACAGTAGATACCAGCCGATATCTCCACACCTCCATACAGGCTAGACATACAGTAGATACCAGCCGATATCTCCACCCCTGGATACAGGCTAGACATACAGTAGATGCCAGCCGATATCTCCACACCTGGATACAGGCTAGACATACAGTAGATACCAGCCATTATCTCCACACCTGCATACAGAC